CCCCAAAACCCCAAAACCCCAAAACCCCTTGTGATGTAATTGATGAAAATAGATTAATTTTCGAGTAAAAGATAGATTATACACATTCATAAATTGCTATCATATTTAAAGCAGTTTATTTAAGTTAATAGTCAAACTTAACCTTTAGCAAATAATAATATATGATGAAGAGAGAATAATATCTAGTAGACAATTTAAATTGGGACCATCTACGAAGAAATCAGCCGTTCAAGCATGGTCTTGTGCATCTCAGCCCAGAATACAATGAAAATGCTAAAAACTTGGCAAGAGTGAAGTAGGGCAAGGCAAAAAAGCAAGACTTTGCCTAGTTTTAGAATTTACCCTGCATTTTACCAGTTAAAATTCGTGATCAAAACAATGATACAGATATCCCACTAGAGCTTGATTCCAGGGAGGAAGAAATCCTAGAAAGCAAGGTCGCACCTCTGTCAAGAAAAAGCTAAGAAAACGCGAAGCATCAAGATGAGAATGATATTAACACAGGACCTTAAGAAACATTTAAAAACTAGAGAACAATGGGAAGAAACCAAGATCAGATGAACAATATGGATTTTAATCTGCCTGAGAACAGAGATGAGTTTACCAAGAATGTGGATGTCATCGAACCTGGAAAGGTAATCTATGACAAACCTATAGCTATAATCTACAACCCAAATGCAGGAAAAAAGAGAAATATTAGAGCAATAATATCTTAAAGACTAGATGCGGCGGGTATCAAACATGAGTATCTAGAATCTAAGAGAGTCTTTGATACCTGGATTATACCATAAGAGATGGACCTTGATCGTGTAAGTGCTTTAGTCGCTGTTGGGGGAGATGGAACCTTCCACGAAGTTGTGAATGGCATGCTTCACAGAGCAGACAAGCGCAAGGTACCTATAGCCTTCATTGGAAATGGGAGTGGTAATGATACACTGATCTAATTTAATGCAAATGACATTTAAAGAGCTCTTGATTTCATTGTAAAAGGAGACTTGCTCAAGTATGATGTAGGAAAAGTTCTATTAGACTACGAAAATGAAGAAGACGTTCCTCCGGAATAGATCAACAGTAATCTTAGATATTCACTCATTAATAGCGTATTCGGTGTATCTGCAAAAATAAATCACTCAGCTATTGGCTATAAAAGATGCTGTTGCAATCCTTATCAATTGGCAGCTTTAAAGGAGTTCTGCAGGCTATCACCAGTTTATGTAACAATTGAGGCAGATGGTGAAGTCGTTTATGAAAATATACCTCTCATTCTTATTGGAGTTTTTAATACAAAATACGGTGGGGGTGGTTTTAATCTTAGTCCATATAGCACAGTAAATGACGGCATGCTAGAGGTAATTTTATACAAGGATAAAATTGGCTTCGGTGGAATGGTAGGGATCATGGATGATTCAATGAAGTACTAAGGTATACATGGTTACAGTAAGAGTATGGAATTTTACAGAGCTAAGAACATCAAAGTTATCAATATGATGCCATTGGAAAAACCCAAAAACAAAAATGACAATAGACCTCCTATGAAATAATTGCAACTCTATGCAATTGATGGGGAAGTCTTTCACTTCAGAGACTTTGTTAAATATGAAACTCTACATAATGAGATTGAAGTCATTGTAGACTTTGATTACTTGATGAACGATAAGAAGTAGTTCGTGAAAAACAGCAAGGCTTGAGGACTTTTTTGGGGGAATTTTCTTAAAAATAATATGATTGAAGGCATTTACATAAAAGAGTCTACTATGCAAACTTTTAAGATTCTTAGAATGGTGCTCAGTTAAATATAAGATTCAACTTTAATTACTCAACTTTTTTCAAATCAATTTACCTGCAAAATTAACCCTCATGGGGTTTTGGGGTTTTGGGGTTTTGGGG